AACCAGCATGTCCCCATCTGGCAGTGGGGCCAGGCCCCAGCAGCAGAATCCCCGTCCCCTCCTGCCCTCCCTGGCCCCAGCTCACCATTTGCCCACTGCTCCAGCACAGCTCAGGGCCAAGGTGGCCCACTTGGCTTCACGTGGTCCAGGGCCAGGCCAGGCTGAGGCAAGAGCTGCTGTGTCCATGTTTAGGGGCAAGACATGCTGTGTCTATGTTCAGGGGCAGGAGCTGCTGTGTCCACATCTGAACACTGCTGCCAAGGCCATGGTGACCAGCCTGGCTACTGTATGCCCTCTGCAGCTGCACCTGAACTCTGTGTGCTGCAGTGGAGCTGGATGTAAAGGAATTGGAGGTGATTGAGGGGAGCCCACACCCCTTCCCAGGTGCCAGGCCAGAGGGGAGATGGTTTCTCTCCTGCCCATGTGCTCTCAGAGCCAATTTCTCCCCACCAGGGTATAGACTCATTGCATCGCAGGATTCCTGCAGTGGCGACCCCCATGTGGTACTTCTAACCAAGGCCAGGAGTGTGGTGAGCTGCTCCCTAAGGACACCCCCAGCAGCACGGATTTCCCCCCCAGGGCAGCACAGCAGAGCACAGTGTTCCTCTGCCCTGCCTCAAGTCTGCTTGAACCAGGGTCAGAGGGACCATCACGGCCACCGCTGCCCACCAGCTGTGGAATAAAAAGCCCAGTGTGACTCCCGGGGGGAGCTGCGCTGTGAGCCACAAGCAGATCGGACAAGCATCCCAGCAAGTCCTGGAGAGGTTGACTAACGAACAGCACCATGTTGTGGCCCATCAGCGCTTCACACAAGCCCATTGCTAGAGAACACTGTGAACCAGCTTTGTTGCACTGAAAACCCATTCCCAAGAGGGGAAAACTGAGTGAATAAATACCCTTGGGATGCCATCACTACGCCTTTCCTAGTTCTTTAAGAACAATTGTCCAGGTAAATGAGTTGGCAAGTCTGGGTAGAATTTCCCTGTAAATGATGAAAGTGTCTTTGTGAGGACAAAATAAGTCTTGTTCATATGTATGTGTTCATATATATGTATAAACATGTATGTATAAACATAAATAAACGTATGTCCATGTATATACATATCTCTGTGTCTACATCTACCTTTTATTTTGTGTGTGTGTGTGTGTGCACAAGTGTGTACATTTGGGTATCCACATAAGAGTTCCTTCCCACCCCAGTTACTACTCCAGGATAGAAGACAACAGACAGAAGGTGGTATGTGGGAAATTCCAAATAGATACAAGGGAAAAAATACTGGAAAGGGGCCCAAAGAAGTGAGATCGCCATCCTTGGAGACACTTGAAGTCAGCTGGACAAGTTCTTCAGCATTCTGATCTCAGGGGACCAGCACTGAGCTGGTGTTGGGCCAGAGCCCTCCCAAGGTCCCTTCCCATCTGCGCGGCTCTGTCTGTATTGCCCGGTTTTTCATTGTTGCTCTCCTCCTCCCCACACTCCTCCCAACTCCCCCAGTAGCTCCAGCGTGTGGGGCAGGCAGTACCCTCTGCCCCAGCAGCTCCTCTGCCGGGGAGGCACTGGAGGCACTTTGGGCAGTGCCGTTGGCTGCATTCACGGCTCTGCTGCTGCAGCGCTTTGCTCTGCCCTGTGCAGGAGGCACACCCGGCTCATCGCCAGGCAGGGGGTTCACCCGGGATCTCTTTTCTGCACAGTGCAAGGAGCATCCTGCCACTCCACAGCTCCCTCCAACACCTGCGGTGACAGCAGTGAGTCTGTCACCTCCATCAGCTTCAGACTGCATTGCCCCTCTCCACACGGGCACGGGCAGCTCTATTCACACGCTGTCTGTAGGGCTGTGTTGTGTACCGGCTCTGGGACAACAACAAAAAAAGCCAAAACCCAAATAACTTCCCAGCAGCAGAAAGCTCCCGTTCTCCAACCCATGCCACCAGCAGTCGATGGATCAGTGTGCAGTCGGAGCCGGGGGTGCTTGCAGACAGAGCCCAGGTTGGCGATGGTGTGCACAGCAGGGGGGGTGACAGGTTAAAACCACGATAAACTGATGCTGTCACTGGGGCAGGACATGTCAACCCACAGTGTCAGCTAGAAATGCCAAGGGAGAACTAGGGGGTTCTTGGACCCTAAAATAAAACTTAACACCTTTCAATGTCACTGCCCAAGATGTGGCCGATTTTCAGAGTGCTGCGATTATTCTGTAGTGCTGTGCCATGCTGGGTTGCAGTGACACAGACCCCTCATGTGGACACATTTATAGTGACAGAGCACTGTTTATAGCTGCACAATTGCTTTATCCTGCTCTCCCCCGCTCCTCCCAGCTGGTCCAGTGCATCAGTTCCTGTGCAGGAGCTATTGCAATGGGTGCAAATGGCACGTCATCCCCTTTTGCAGCCACGTAGCACAGGTAAGTTAGCAGTCTCTGCCTCACACCAGCAGAGACCTAGGGCAGGAGAAGCAGGGTGTACCTGAGCTGTGGTTCTCAGGTGCAGGTGGCTCTGTCACCGCGTGCTGAAGGCACTGCCAGCTCCCCCAAGGGCAAGGCAGCCAGGGGCAGCTGCCAGAGGACATTTACCTCCCCTGATGAAGAGTGAACGCCAGCAGATGTTGCTACCTGAGCAGGCCAAGCCCACTCTGGGGATGCTGTGAGCAACACCAGGCCAGACAGCTCCTGAGAATGCGTTCTCCTTTCCGGGTGGGTGGCGCAGGGGACAGAGGCTGTACTGCCATGGCTGCAGGAATTCAGCTCAGCTGCTCAGAAATCCAGGTCATGATAGGATCCTGCAGAACTGTCTTGAGACCTGCAACAAACATCTCTGTGGAAAGAAGCACCCACCTGGGACATCCAGAAGCACAGCTTTATCCTAACGGTTGTTCTGCTCTAGGCCATGGCTATCCCCACGCAGACCAGCTGGAGCCAGCAGCGAGTGGGCAGGGAGAGCCACCCACCAGTGCTCTGAGGCTACTGGGCTCTGCAGGAGGACTCAGATATGCAGGCTGAGATGGGGCCCACACTCCAAGTTAACAGAATGCACCTGCAGAAGAGGGCAGGGCCATGGGGAGGGAGCACTTGCCCCCCAGGCAGCATGGAAATGGGCCAGTCCTTTCTGTGGCATCAGGGAGGGCACCCAGGAAGGTGAAGTCGGCTCCTGCTGTCAGCGATGTTGCCCACTCTTATAAGCCATGTCTCCCAGGGAAGGGTGCCAATGGCTAACTGGACCCTGCGTGACCCAAACTCCTTATCAACCCTTACGGCAACCGGCATCTCAGTAGCACCATGTCCCACACCCTTGGAGAGAGCCTTCTCCCTGCCCAGGAGACTCTGGTGGGATTGCAATAGGTGCTGCTACTACAGTGCAGACGCATGAGCCCCTTTGCCTCACTGGCAAGGCTGAGCTGGCTCATGTTTGTCAAACCAGCTCTGTCGCTGGTTTTCATGGCTGGACACCCAGTTTGGGGTGGAATCACATGGTCCCCTACACTGTTGACTCAGGACCATGCATGCAGCTACGCCCCGTGCAAAACTGGATCTTCATCAGGTTCTGGGACTGGGCTTATTCATCTGAGAGACGCCCCCCAGCTTCAGAAGCAGCATCTCATGCAATAGCTCTCAAGAGCAGACTATTCCAGTCCGGCTGTCCTAGATGTGAGAGCTCCTGCTCAAGAAGTCTGAAACCCTTCTCCTGTGCTGGTGCAGTGGGACTGGCAGCTGCTCCAGGCTGGGATGAGGGGACACAGTGTCGGTGCCAGCAGTGCCTGGTCCACCCCAGCCCTGCTCCCTGCTGCAGAGCCTCAGCAGCATGGTATGAGAAGCAGCAGCTGGTACTGGTGAGACAGGCTGAGATGTTCAAGGAGGGGCAAGACCCTTCCCCTCCCCTCCGCCCAGCTCTGGCAGCCAGCACTGCCCCACGATTCACTAGCAGTAAGGCAACTGAGCTGCAGGAGGATTTCTCTGTTCACTCCCCATGGGCGCCTCGGGACTGAGGGAGAAGGAAAAGCTTCAAGGCAGGACTCTCCTAGCAGGCAGCGCAGCCCTGAAGAGCTGGAGAGCATTGCATCACTTCCGAGGTGCTGCTGGCATGTGGGGCCACCCGTGCATGGAGATGGCACAGGGCACAGGGGCAGCCCTGGGGACAGCAGGGGCCGGGGGGCTGCAGGCACAGACATCTTCACACCCCACGGCCAGCAGAGGCCAGGTCCTGGCATGAGGCTTACGGGACGGGCAGGGCTTCGCCTCCAGGGGGGGTGGCCCCCCGCCGTCGTGTGGCGCGAATCTCGGGGAGGGTCGCTCCTGCCCCGTGGCCTGGGGCACGGCACCAGGGATGCCGGGGGCAGCGCACCCGTCCCTCCCGTCCCGGGGCAGCGCTGCGGGGCTGGGGAGGGCTGTGGCGGCAGGGGCTGTGGGGGCCGAGGACCCCCCCGGCTCCAGCTCCCGGCCCCGGCCAACGCACCTCCCCGCCGGCGGGAGGGCGGACCCGGAGATGCTCCCGGGAGCTTCCCAGCACCTCCCCTTCTCTGCCCCCTCCCGTGTCTCAGCACCGGCACCGGACCGGGTCCGATGGAGCCCGCAAGGCCAACGGTGCTCCCCGCACGGCCGCCGGGTCCGCGGGCCCCGGTCCCGGCACCGGCCGAGGCGCGGGCAGGACCCGGAGCCTCCCGCCCACCTCGGCCTCCGCGGCCGCCCCTGCCCCAGTCCCCGGCCCTGGCCCCGTCTCTCCTCCTGCCGGGCCGGGTGGGCAGCCCCGCGGAAGAACGTCGCCTCGCTCCATAGAAAATAATTTATTGAAATCACAGCTATACATGGGCGGGCGCCCCCGGGCAGCGCAGCCCCGGCCCGGGGCGGCCCGCGTTCCCCGCGGCACGGACAGACGGACACGCTGCCGTATGTACAGAGTTTACACGGAATAAATAAGGGACATGTACAGAGGAGTGCGGGCGGGCGCCCGGGCCGCGCCCCCGCCGCGCCGAGCCCCCCCGCTGCCGGCGGCCCGCCCGCCCCAGGGTCCGGGCGCCCCGAGGGCGCTCAGGGCCGGGCGCCCTGCTCGATCTGCTGGTGCTGGCTGCGCACGGCGAAGCGGTTGACGTGCACCGGGATGGGCACCACGATCTTGGGGTTGCGGACGGGCTCGCCCGAGCGGTTGCTGACGTTGCCCGCCTTGATGCGTTTCCACTTGGCGCGGCGGTTCTGGAACCAGATCTTCACCTGCACCTCGCTCAGCTTCAAGGCGTGCGCGATCTGCGAGCGCTCCGTCAGGCTCAGGTACTTCTTGCAGTGGAACTCCTTCTCCAGCTCCAGCAGCTGCTCGCTGGTGAAAGCCGTGCGCCGCCGGCGGCTCTTACCGGCCCCGGAGCCCGGCGGGGGCTGCTCGGCCGCGGGGCCGCCCTTGCCCTTGCCCTTGTTGCCCAGCGCGGCGGCGGCCGCCCCGTCCAGGAAGGGCTCCTCCTCGCTGTCGCCCGCCGAACTCTCCTCCTCCCGCTCGCTGCACGGCGTCGCCGCCGACTTCACCTCCAGCTTCTCCTCGTCCGAGCTGTACGCCTTCCCGTCTGCGGGGCACACAGCGTCAGCGCCCGACGGCGGAGCCCGCCGCCCCCCGCCCCGCCCGAGGGCCCTCCGCGCCCGGCCGAGCCCCCGGAGCCCCCGCAGCCGCAGCCCCTGCTCCCCTCCGCGTCAGCCGGGCCCCGCCACCGCCGCGTCCCCGCAGCCCCGGGGCCGCCCGCACTGTCCCCGGCGGCAGAAGCAGCTTCCCCGTCCCCGCTGGAGGCGGCGCCGGTGCTGCTGCCCCAGCGCTGGGGTCTGCTCCACGCTGCCCGCAGCCTGGCCGGCTCTGTGGGGCAGCACCCACAAACCCGGCACATCCGCAGGCCACCCCAGGGTATGAGCAACCACAGCAGCTGCCACCGTCCCCATCCCACAACCCAGCTATAGCAGCATCACTGTCTCATCCCAGCAGAACACACTGCAGCTCTTCCAGGGCTTGTCCGGACCTCCACATCCACAAAGAAAGTCTGTACCTTGCTCCTCAGCTCAGCCCTTCCTCTTTCCCATCCCACTGCATCAGACCCTCAATGCTATTCACCCAGAAAGAAGCCAGCCAAGAGGACCTGAAGGACTGTCCTGGAAACAGCAGCCTGAGCTGGTTCCAGCTCAGCAAGCCTCTCTACAGGGCTTTACAGGGCATGGGGTAATCCTGCTGCCAGCTCTCCCTCCCTAACCCCAGGATGCACTACAGCAGAGCTGCACAGCCAGGGAACAAGGTGCTCAGGCAGCTGATGCTCAAGGCTTAGCTCCCCCCACCAGTCTGTGCAGAGGGGCAGGCTAGAGGCTGCCAACATCACTTAACAGACAGGACCTCATCCCAGACCACCCAGGAGGCAGCACCTGAACCACCGCAGACACCTCTGTTACATTGCCTGCAAAGATATCCGTAGGTAGAGGAGTATGAATCTTCTTGCCAGCTTATTGTCTCCCAAACCACTTCCTGAATGATTAAACAGCCATGAAGCAAGGGAGGACATGGGTGGGAGACAGTGCGGAGGAAAGAGGCCTGGAAACCAGTCAGTTCCTTGGTAGAAGGATTCAAACAAAGGTCTCACAGGAGAGCGAGTGAAAAGATGCTCCTGGTCGTAACCAGGAGTCATGGAGGGAGAGGACCCACAGCTATGCACAAGCTTTTCTGTCACGTTGAGACTACTGAGACTAGAAAAGACCAGCAAACTCCGCAAGTTTCCACAAGGAATCGCTGCTGGAAGGAGCTCTGGGTGTAATCCTACAGGCAGAAGAAGCAGCAGCAGCTCTCCAAACCTCTAAGCAGTGTCTAGGTACTGGCACGTGCACCCTGGGCCACTGGATCTCCAGACAGCTCACCTCACCTCAGTGGGAAAGGCAGAACAGCCCTCAGATGCTGGGTTGCAAATACACAAGCAGCAACTGCAAGAAACTGCTTGAGCCCAGGAGACATCCTTAGGAGTCCGGCTGCTGTGGAGCTCCCACATCCCTTGCTGGTCCTGCAGGAAGTCTGGGGCTTCCCGAGAGTAGAGAGTGGTTCTGTGTACCACCTCCGTCTGCTGGAGCACAAGGCCTGACAAGACAAGAGAGCTCTTATGAGGATATCGGTGTGTTCACCAAGAGTACTCATAGGTCCTGCCCTGACCCTGCCTTTCCCTAGTGATGGAGGATGCCATCCCAGCAGCCACACTATCAAACAGTGCTGATCTGGCAGTTTGCTCTTGTAGGCCCTGTGACTGTGCCCCAGGAGACTGGAAGAAGGCTGAGCTACCAACTGCAGCATGTCATTTGTAAAACAGGCACTATCTCTGGATTCACTCTTCTTAACCAGCCCCAAATTTTAAATGGTCTCTACCAGACATGTCTCACACTTGTGTCTGATAATAGGTACTGGGTTTGCAGTACAGAACTCAGAACTATATGATGTCTAAACCAGAGGTTTGCACAAAGCAAATTGGTATATCGGTCTGTTAGTCATGTAGTATGTCCCCATCGAGGAATTAACGCAGGGAGGGGAACCCACCCATTTGGTGGGAGGGTAAAGTGAGACTTTCAGAGGCCTTTGAAAAGGAACTGAAGTTGTCATGAAGCAAAGTATTGTGACTTTGAAAAATCAACAAGGCAGCAGTAAATGAAGAATGGGATTGACCCATTGCTTTGCTCTTCACAGAGTCTCAGCTGCTCCTTGATCTTATGGACATGGTGAGGACAGTTCGGCGTCACAGGTGACAAAGTTATTCAAGTAGGATCAGAGGGACCTGGACCAAGAATAGGTGTTGTGACAGCCAGAAGAGCTCTGTGCTGTAAGTAAACAAGAGCTCTTTGTTATGTTCATAGGGAACAACTCGAAGCTTCACCATGTCCACGACTGAACATGCAGTTACTACATCAACCCAAGAGATGGTCTCAGACCACTGCCTGGATCTCAGTAGAGACCTCTACAGCTCTGGAACAAACGGGCTCTCTGTGCTGGGGGTCATACTCTTTGTTGTAGCTTTGGTAGCAAACCAAACTTACCAACAGTCTGCCTACATGCTTCTCCTCTCTCAAGTGTGACAACGGCTGGAAGCAATTTTGACACACATTAGATGCAGAGAGAGGCCCTAAAATAGTGCATTGACTCCTTCAGCTGATCCGGCAAGAAACTGATCCTGTCTCCATAGACACCTGCATGGTGGAGATACTAACGGAGCCCAGGGACAGAAACGGTCACTTTAGGGTATAATTCAGGTGATGTCAGCAAAACAGACAAAAGGAGGCATTTTTTCTTCATATGGAGATTTGTGGAACACCTTGCCCCAGGACCCGGCTGAAGCTAGGGTTGTCTCTCCTTTCTGGTGGCCTCTGGGGGAGACAGAAGGGAAGGTCACAGAAGAGAAATTGGTCAAAGGCTACCCAATACACAGAAATAACACCTTGCTCAGGAAGCCCCTGCAGTGCAGGTGGTTAGATGCTGGGGAAGTGCCATTTTAGAAAGCATTGCACAGGTTGTACTCTCTTACTCTTCCCCGGACAATTGCTTTTGGCCAGAGCCACAGACAGGATGCTACTGCAAACAGCATTATAGCTAGTGTATGATGCCTCCTTTTTGGCATGAATCATCTTTCTCTTCCTTAACTGTGGAAAAAGCCTACAGCAACCATCCTGGCTTTCATCTGAGATGTTTGATAAAACATACCCTACTGTCCATCTGCAAGGGTCTTGGCTGGTACAGTCAGGAGAAACATCAGGTAAAGGAGAAGGTGGTCCTGTTTGACCTGGCAAATTCTCTTGGACCCGGGTAGAGCAGCCCACAGAGTCAGGTCCACGTGAGCACGTGTTTGTGCAGAAGGACAAGCATCCTTCATGGCTCCAGAGCAAGCGCAGTGCTAAGAGACGGCTAATAGGCAGCAGCGAATGAACAGCAGTAGCAAGACATATTTCCTTCCATCATCTGAGCCAGTCACAACATGGCAAGTCTTAGAGATATGATTTCTCGATATCAGAAAAGGCTACTGTTCATCTGAGTCCCTTGGGAGGAGAGAACATGTTGGGCTCAGCTACGGAGGAGCCATGGAGGGAGATCAAGCACAATGCAGTTCGTTTCCCCATAGACTGGGAAGATGCAGTCATACAGACAGCTAGTTTTGGCCAGGGCAGTTCTGTCCCCAAGGAGACTTTCACAACAAAAGTGAGATCGCACAGGGCTTTTGACTCAGCCCAGAGGCCTGGGAGCACCAAAGCCCCACTAACCCAGAAAGGCAGTGGGGAGGCAAAATGCCCTGGTTGTCCTGCTGAGAGATGAGGTTAGAGGGGTATCTGAGTGAGGGAAACAGTCTTCTGGGGGGAGAACAAGGTAAGGCAAGGCAAAGACCTGGGCTTCCCCAGGAGAGGCTAAAGGGAGGATGAAGAACAAACAGCCAAGCACTGCAAGAAAGCAGCAAAGACTTCTCAGCTTGCACCCGTGCCAGGAAGCCTCTGAGACAAAGGTGGATCTCACGGGTGACCCAGGGGAGACAGCTCTCAGGACAGGACACATCAGAGAAAGCCAGCAGTTGGTTTGTCTCAGTGTCGCTGCAGAAGGGACACCCGGAGCCCTGTGCTGCAGGAGCTGAGGTGGAAAAGAGCAGGAGCTGGAGCTGGCTGAGAAATACGGAGCAACAAGTCACCGGGGCTGATGCCGACACCCCCCGGGGGAGCGGCCGCGGCTCACAAAGGCGAGGGCCCCGCGGCTCCGCCACGGCAGCGGGAACCGCCCCCGGCCAGCACCGAGCGGGGTCCCGGGAGCGGAGCCGCCGCCTGCCCGCGCCGTCGGGCAAAGGCGGCGCCGCGGGCTCAGCAGCGCGGGGCGGCGGACGAGAGGAGGGGGAGCGGGGCTGTCGGAGCGCGGGAGCCGGGTGTCCCTTCCGGCGCCTACCGGCGGCACGGGCTCGGAGCGCCGGTACCCTCAGCAGGACGAGGCCGGGAGGGCGGCGGAGCCCGGGCCGGGGCGGGCTGCGGGCGAGCGAGGGAGCTCCCAGCCCCGCGATCCGTCCGGGACGCGGCACAGTGCCGGAGACAAGGCGCAGCCCCGCGCCGCAGCCGCACCGTCCGGGACAGGGACGGGCGGGGAGGGCTCCCGGCGACCCGGGGCGGCGCGACATGCCGCTCCCCCCCGCCCTCCCGCCCCGGGCCGGGTGCCAGGACCTCGGAGAGCTCCGCGCCGCCCCGACCGGCCGCGGCTCCGGTCCCCCCGCCGGTCCCTGCCCCGCCGGGGCGGCCGCCCCGACCAGCAGCTCTCCCTCCCCGCAGCCCGGGCGCGGCGAGCGGAG